TTGAATAAGACGCCCTTCAATTTTTAGCGTAAGGATTTTAGAAAAAAGTATCGTCTTATAGTCGGAAAAATACGGTATATCCTGCTGCAATCCAGATCAACTCTTAGCAATTTACCTGAGATAGCAAAATAAAGTATCCATGGTAAAAAAAAAATAATAAAACAAAAATTAGAAACAATAAAAACAAACTTGAACTCAAAAATCCAAGTAATCCATAAGAACAATTTCAATAATTGCCTACTTTAGAAAATAAATATTGTGACTCTTGTGGTAATCTGACAAGACCTTTCTAGAAAAGTGAGGAAACTATTTGCCACATCTAATACAGCAGATAACTTCTGCAATAGAAGATCTGTGACCTCCCTGAGTTTATTGAACTACAACTCTCAGTATCCTCAGTACTGGCAGTACAGGCTGGTATTGCTGTTGATAGTTCAGCAGCATGTGGAGGACCACAGATTTCCCTCCTGACTGAAGGGATTGCCAGGTGCTTGGATCAAAGCTACAGCCAACGAAACATACTACTGACGCTGTAAGATGTAAATCCAAACCCATTTCATAGGTGCCAAAAATATTTTAAATCTATCAATATCTTTCATCACTGAGAAGTTCATTCTTTAAATTGCATTTCTATAAAATATTAATTAAAAATCTCTCATATATGCATAATCAAGTTTCACAAACTGAAATACCCCTTTCTGCTTGTTACCTTCTTTCCATTAACACTCTAGTCATCATAGGAAGAAATTTTTCTAAATGAATAAAGCCAGTTGGTTCTTCTTCTTCTACCTAATTTTGAAAAGAAGCATATCATAAATGATGATGATTTACTGGAAAATTAAACAGAAAACTAATTCACACAATCTAAAACTATCTTGTAATATATGAAACAGAAAAACAACATTGTTCTCTACAGGTAGTCCAAGACTTACAACCATTCGTTCAGTGACCATTCGAAGTTAAGACAGTCCTGAATGGAGGGACTTATGACTCGTGCCTGATGTTATGGCCATTGCAGTGCCCCCATGGTCATGTGATCAAAATTCAGGCACCTGGCAGTCTGCCCACACTTACAACCGCAGGTGCACTTCAACTCCCCCCACCCGCCTATCTCCCCCCATGGCCACCTGCACCCTGCAAGAAGCCCGAGCTGCAGCACAGCACGAAGCTGGAGCCTTCCCAGCCAAGCCGCACGAAGCTGCCCCAAGCTGCCATAGGAAGCATTCATTCACCCAGCTGCCTTCTCTCCCAGTTCCCCGCACCAACCTTTTGCCTTTTGCGCCCAGCCCCCGTGGCTGAAGAGGAAGCACCTCCCTGCCTTTGCTGCCTCCTTTTCGGACCCAGCTTCTCCAGCGAACTTTTCCTCCCTGAGCCTTCGGAAAGCTGCACCGTCTTCTGACTTTCAGAAAGGCAGTTCAGCTTTCTGAAGGCTCAGGGGGCCACGTGGAGGAAAAGTTCACCGGAGAAGCTGGGTCCGAAAAGGAGACAGCAAAGGCAGCGAGCCACTTCTGTTTGGGCTACAGGGGCTGGGCGCAAAAGGCAAAAGGTCAGTGTGGGGAACTGAGAGAGAAGGCAGCTAGGTGAACGAATGCTTCCTAGGGCAGCTTTGTACAGCTTTGTGCAGCTGGGCTGGGGGAGCTGCAGCTTCCTGGGGCGGCTTCATGCGGCTGGACTGAAGCAGCTGCAGCTTGGTGCTTGCAACGGCTCAAGGGCTTCTTGCAGCCCCAGAGCTGTGCAGTTCTGGGGCTGCTTACCACCCTGCAAGGCAGGATGCAGGGTGGCCAAAAGGGCAGAGATGGAGATAGGCAGGTGGGGAGAGTTGGAGGCAGTCTTATTGAGGCTCAGGGCTGGGAGGGACCAAGCCTGGAATGTCTTATATTGGGGTGAGTCCTTGGCTAATGATCGGTGAAATTCACTTAATGACAGCAAGGGGAATTGCTGGGATTGCAGTCACTAAGTGATGCGATCACATGACATCTCGCTTTACGACTACATCGCTTAGTGACAGAAATTCCAGTCCCAATTGTGGTCATAATTTGAGGACTACCTGTACATGAGTGCCAAGAATCCATTAGCTAATGTTGAGAAAAGTGATACCTATCATGTAACCAGACAGAAAGAAACAGGGAAGATATGCCAGACTAGGCCTCATCCTTTTACTTCCTCACCTTTCAATTACATTAGCCATGGACTGCCTTCTTCTCTTCCACAGATTCTATATACAAAATGCTATCTATACATGGATGTACAGAACACATATTTCTAGCTGGTTTATGAAAGCCTAAGTCAGCTGTTGCACAATCAGGAGTAGCAGAATGCCTGAGGCTGCCATTAGAGATCTAAAATAATTGTATTTCTGATATCTATTATTACTGATTTGCAACATCCATAAAAAAAGCTACACCCAGACTTCATTATCCCTCTGTCTGTATCACTCTTGTTGTTCATACCCTCCCAATTCTTTTTCATTCTGGTTCTCACTGGCCATAGTTTCTCTCTCAACCACTGCACACAACACACACGCACATTACATACATTACATCTCCCTCAGCTCTCCATGCATTCTTGGTTTTCCCTTGCTCTCTCCCTTCAAAAACAAAAGCTACATTTGTTTTTAAAAAGTTGTGAATGAAAATTTAAATACAGAGATTTGCTTTGTTGCTGTGCAATGAGATAATGGAAGCAGATAAAGTAAATTTAAGTCTCAATGTCTCTTAAGAACTTATGAGACTACATTTGCTATACTGCTAGGTCAAAGTGATTTGGGAGTGTAACAGGCAACTTGCAAATCAGCGGTGATGACACCAATTAAAAGTGGGGAAGAAAGAAAAGAAAATTTTCTAGATTGGTTGAAAGGATGTAAGACATAATTCCTAGTATATTTACTTTCTTGGTCAGAGAGGGCTGAGAGATAGATAAGTAGCCAACAGCCAGCCAGCCTTTCCAGATTAAAAATGAGTAGGTTTTAAATTTAGAATCTTCTAGTTACGTACTTTATTATTACAGCCATACATGGACAAGAGAGAAGACATTGTAAGAGTACATTTATGCAACATTGTCCTCTAGTGGTAAAAGTATATTTATGCAAAATATTTTCCTTCAAAACAAAGTAAAACATAAACAAAAATACTAGGAGTTTTAGAGTAACATTTATTAATGAAGTGCTATACTATGCTGCAAACAAATATACTTCCTATGCAAGTGTGCGCGTATACA